AGTGGCACGCTCAGGAGGCAACCAATCGATGTCTCTCTCTCTCTCCCTCTCTCTCTCTCCCTCCCTCCCTCCTTCCTTCCTCCCTCCCTTCCACTCTCTCTAAAAACCAATGGAAAAAATATCTTCAGGTGAGGATTAGCAACAACAACAAAAATATATGTCAGCTGGGTTGGTTTCTCCTGAGGCATCTCTCTTCTTGGTTTGCAAATGGCCATCTTTTCATTGGTCCTCACATGGCTTTTCTTCTGTGTGTGAGCATCCCTGGTGTGCATGTTTCTACATTTCTTCTTCTTATAAGGACCCCAATCAGATTGGACTATGGCCCCACCCTTATGACCTCATTTAACTTAATTGTCTTTTTAAAGGCTCTGTCTGCAAATATAGTCACATTGGGAGTGAGGGCTTCAACAAATGAATTTTGGAGGAATACAATTAGTCCATAACATACCTAACATTATGATACAAAGTATAAAACCAGATATGAAAACCTAGATGTGAAAGGAAGGGAAAGAGAGAGAGAAAGAGGGAAAGAAGGAAAGGAAAGGAAAAATGGGAGGGAGGGGAGAAGAAGGAAAGAAAAAAGAAAAAAGGTTTTTCATTTTAAATAAAAAGACTAATTACCTAGGAAATAAATTTTAGAACTGCTATCTTTCAATGTGTTTCTTTTATCAATTTTGAAGTTAAAATCTAGTTTCCAATGTCATGCTTATATTTTAATTTTATGCATTTGTACTATCATTCAGTTAAAATGAAGTCTATATTTCTGTCAGTTGATTCTTCCCACACCTGGGCTGCCTCATTTATTCCATTTCTTCTTTGAATTTTAACTTTGATTCCTGGTGTAAAGGAATATTTCTCAGGGCCTGCTAACTTTTTCTCAACCAAGGCAACCAGCTGGCCTCTAAAGGAACTTAATTCCCACCTATTTTAAGGTTTCATTCTTGCAATCAGTGTGTTCAGACTAAAGAGATAACATTTCTGTGCTATTAGAATGCTTATTTCTATGACTGTGTCTCCTTCTCTCACTCCCATGCATATTCTAAGCCACGCAGTTGGAGAGTGTCTTTGCGTTTCAGCACCTCATATAGTACCTGACCTTTGGGAAACGCTCGAACACGTACTGAATGAGTGATGGTGAGGCTCTCCTCCTTGCCTGCTCTCCTTTTTTTTAAAAAAAAAATATATATTATTGATTTTTTACAGAGAGGAAGGGAGAGAAATAGAGAGTTAGAAACATCGATCAGCTGCCTCCTGCACATCTCCCACTGGGGATGGGCCCGCAACCCAGGTACATGCCCTTGACCGGAATCGAACCTGGGACCTTTCAGTCCGCAAGCTGACGCTCTATCCACTGAGCCAAGCAGGTTTTGGCTGCTCTCCTTTTTTAAAATGAGAAAACTGAGATCTTGAAAAGTTGAATGGCATAGTAAATAATAAAAGTCATGGACATCTATGTTCATGAAAACCTCACTGTGTTCTGGGCACTTTTATAAGTGTTCATATATGTTCTTCTCCTCACACCGGCCTGGTGATGCATGTGTCATTGTCCCTGAGGCAAAGTGGCCAAGCCCCCAGGGTGAGAAAGTAGCAAAACTGGGATTTGAACCCAGGACTTTCCTAACTTCAGTCCTGTGCCAGCATAGAGTGGACCAGGCTGCAGTTTTCTGGGTCTACACCTGATTTGAAGCTATTCAAATTTTATCCCCTTTTCATGCCTGCCCAGCTGTAATGCAATAATGATTGAATAGTGCTTACAAAGACAACGCATTCTTGGTGTACTACATGTGCCCGCCAGTATGGCGTTTGTCTAGTGACGATGCTGCACATCTGCTCATCCTACCCTCCTGCCCAATTCACCAAGAACCACTTACAAACAACAGCTGGAGGGAAATAAGAGAGTTATTTTGCTCTAGCTGATTTGGCTCAGTGGATAGAGCATCGGCCTGCAGACTGAAGGGTCCCAGTTTTGATTCCAGTTAAGGGCACATGCCCGGGTTGTGGGCTCGATCCCCAGTAGGTGGCGTGCAAGAGGCAGCCAATCAATGATTCTCTCTCATTATTGATGTTTCTATCTCTCTCTCCCTCCCTCTCCTTTCCTCTCTGAATTCAATAAAAAAATATATTTTAAAAAGTTAATTTGCCCAGTTTAAAACCTGTTGGAATTTCCCTGGGGAAGAGAATGGTCCTGTGGGTTAGTGCTGATCAGAAAGGGTTACCCCAGGAGGACACCACCATACAGCATTCGGCTCTCAGCAGGTCTAGGCTGGTTGAGGAAAGTACAGGCTTCGCCTAACACTTTTTGTATCATAACAAGAGAGACTTCCTGTACCTGGGGGCTGGTTGTTCAGAAGGAGGAAACAGATTGCCTGTCAGAGGAGCCAGGAGAGATGTGGTGTTGCTGGTCACTCCCCTTCTAGAAGGGACTTGTGTGTGTCCCCTTCATCCACCACTTTTGACAGAAAACTGCACATTCATCATGCAAGATTTCTTCCCAGGTGGCTAGCCACACTCCTGCAGTTATCCGGGAAAGAAAATGGGATATTGAACTGTAGATCTTTCCCCGGCTCCGAGGACTTGTAATCCTTAGTGCCCTCCATCATGGATGCTCCATCTTGCGGCTGTGGGCACTCCCGCTCTCCTGAGATCAGATCCTTTCATCAGAGCTTTGTCTTCTGGACATCCTGCTTTCTCCCGCTGTAGCCAAGAGGAAGGATGGCACTTTGCCAGCTAACAAGTGGAGGGAACATGAATGAGAAAGACAAAGCAGGGGTGCCATGGAGACAGTCATCTTCCATGGTCCGGTCATTTAACAGGATGTGAAAATAGGCCGAGGCCTATTTGCTATATTAAGTGGGGGCCGGGGGAGGGGTTGTTGTTGTTGTTTGTGTGGTTTTTAAAAAATCTATTTTTATTGAATTCTAAAAGGAAGTGAGAGGGAGAGAGAGATAGAAACATCAATGTGAGAGAGAATCATTGATGGGCTTCCTCCTGCATGCCCCACGCTGGGGATCAAGCCTGCAACCCAGGCATGTGCACTGACTGGGAACTGAACCATGACCACCTGGTTGATAGGTTGACGCTCAACCACTGAGCCACACGTGCTGGGCTATCAAGTGTTTTTAAACACAGTAAGAAACCCATGTTTTATTGCAATCCAGGACACACATGTAAACACACACACAATAGGTCACAACCTGAAGGGTGGATGGAGCAGTAGTGGCTACAGCACAAGCTATAGAGTCAGGCCTGCAACGAGCCCCTGCTCTCCCACTGAACCCCCAGAGGAATTTTGAAAAGCTGCAGACCCCATCACACATTTACAATTGTCATCTTAAGGTTTTCCTCCCCAAATTTAAATACTTGCAAAGACTAGAATTTCCCATTTACTGTAAATATGTTATAATACATGTCAAAGTACAGAGCCAAAAATTTAGCTCAAGATTCATAGACAGTGTTCATTATATAAGCTAATTGCCAAAAACATCCCTCACTGTCTCACCCATCAAGCTAATCAGACTTAACTCCTCATCAGAGAGGAAGTCAATCTTCATTTGCAATTCAAATAAACACACTAAAGTGCCCGCACTTCTGACTCTGACTCTGAGATGCAGAGAGGCCGATGGATGGGAGAGGTCAAAGCCTGGCCTGAGTCTGTACTTGGTTGACATAAAGCTCTGCTCCTCAGATATCTTCCCTCAGGAACAAGCCTTTCTCTTTTTTAAATGTTTTTAATTGATTTCAGAGAGGGAAGGAGAGAAACATCAATGATGAGAGAGAATCACTGATTGGCTGCCTCCTGCACGCCCCCCACTAGGGATCAAGCCTGCAATCCGGACATGCGCCCTGATTGGGAATGGAACCGTGACCTCCTGGTTCATAGGTCCATGCTCAACCACTGAGCCACACCAGCAGGGTGCAGGAGCAAGCCTTTCCCAGTTACCTCTAGATTATTTCTATCCCAGGCCCAACCTCCTTCAAAGGCTTGAGGTGGATGATAAATGTCATTCCTTTGTAAAGAGGCAGAAAACAACTGTGAGAGGGGAGGGAGAGGCTCGGAGAGCTGGGAGACCTCAGACTCCTGGTGCTTCCTCAGCCAAGTCGGTTTTGGGGACATGCAACTTGATGATCTGAAAACTGATTCTCCCAAACGTGTGACTGGAACCCCCAAGAAATTATGCAAATAGTCCTAGGTACTTGAACCACTGTTCTGAGTCTTTAGTATCCTCATCTGTAAAGTGCAAATAGTGATAGTACCTACTTTCAAAGACGGTTCAGAAGAATACATAAAGGCTGTATATACAAAGAAAGCCCGTAATGAAGTTCTGGGCGCAGAATGAGTACCCACTTTGTGCTCGCTGTTGTTACAGTTGTTGCTGTTGTTATTCGATCCCTCTGCTTGCTAACAATGACATTTCTCATTGGACTAAAGTCATCCTCAGGCCTGTCCCTAACATTTGTGCCCACAGCCCATATATCCAAGCTCTGTCCACACATCTGCAACTAGCAGCCCCTTTGGCCACTCCTTGGGTCTGGAACCTACATCTTGTAGCACATTCCACTCTCAGGTCACACTTGGGTAAGAAGCCCTCACATAGCTCGGAGGTTGCCTGGGCAGGAAATCCAGGGTTCTGACTTTCTGGAACTTGCTCTAAAAGGGCTTGGATATAAGTCTGCTGGGCATATCCCCCTGGCCCAATAGATTTCTTGCCCAGATAGAGTAGGGCAGGAGCTACACAAAGCACAAGCCCAGCGCAGCGGCCCCTCCTGCTTGGGTCTAAAGGTCTTACCTCACGGATGTTGTTAATCAATTGGGATAATGTGTGTGGATGCGTTTAAAATGTAAGACTTTAGTGTTATCTTCATGGCCTTTATGACCCCAAATTCCGTCAGAGTCAACCGCCTTGAACAAACGATGGAAACCACAGAAAAAGACAAGTTGGTAAGCAGACCTCACTGGAGGGCCTCAGGGGCAGAAGAGAATGCCTTGTGCTTGGTTTCAGGGCCCGGCTTTCAGGCCTCGGGATACAACTTCAACACCTACGACTGGAGGAGCTCCAAGCAGAGAGGGAGCTTGTCCCCAGTCGCTAAGCCTCGGAGCCAGACTTACCCGGATGTGGGGCTGAGTAACGAAGACTGGGACCGCTCCACGGTCAGCGGGTAAGGCTCATCTACCGTGGCCCTGTCCCGACTGCTTTGTGTTTGGGGGCAGATCTGAACCTCTCTACGTCCATTGGCACATGTTGCCAGCATTGGCTTCCTGAAGCTGCTGGAATCGGCCATGCTGGCCTGGTGGCAGGATTCTAACACTTGTGCCTGCCCAGTGGGAACCTGGGCACCACCACACAGCAGGGCAAGCGCTGTGTCCCCTAAAGAAAACAACAGCACGTGGGGAAAATCTACTTCTAACGACCGTGGCCTCACTCTGTGACTAGTTCCCGCTCCTTTCATTTAAAAGGTAGTTTCACATCAACTTCTATTTTTTAAAAAGATACACTTAGGGTCCCATATTTTTTGCTAAGATACATTTTAGCATTGTGTTCCTTACCAAAATACTTTAAGGAAATTTATAAAAAATGATAGCACTTGATCTATACCAGTGATTTTCAACCCTTTGCATCTATGGCACACATATACTAATTACTAAAATTCTTTGGTACACCAAAAAATATATTTTTTGCCAATCTGACAAAAAAAAAAAAAAATAGGTGTCATTTTGATTTATTCACACCGGGCAGCTATTGTGGTGTTGGCTGTTGTCATTTTGTATTTGACAATCTAAGGCAGTGGTTCTCAACCTTCCTAATGCCGCGACCCTTTAATACAGTTCCTCATGTTGTGGTGACCCCCAATCTCATTGTTGCAAACTGGACATAATTAAAGCATAGTGATTAATCACAAAAACAACATGTAATTATATATGTGTTTTCCGATGGTCTTAGGCGACCCCTGTGAAAGGGTCGTTCGACCCCCAAAGGGGTCACGACCCACAGGTTGAGAACCGCTGATCTAAGGGAAAAGAGGTCAGTGCCCCTGACTAAATAGTGTTAAGAATTCTTGCAGCCGACTGGTTGGAAATCACTGATCTACACTGTGTTGACCGTAGGGTGGGGAAAACATTCTCTCTCTCAGAGAAAAGTTTGACTTCTCCTCCCCTGCAGCTATAGTAGCTGAAAGATATTCCCACACAAACGCCCAGTTCATGCAGCTCATTCGGCGGTGGCCGCGAGCGCTCTGAAGTTCAGTGAGCAAGACCACGGGCCTCCTTTCATTCTAGCCTTTCCTAAGGTGCCCTCCCCGCCAGCACTGTTTGGAGGCCGCAGTCGGAAGAAAGCCAAACCCAAAATGAACCTGGGGTTTTCGGGTGTGTGAGATGAAGGGGTGAGAGCCTGGATACAGGACGAAAACAAATCTAGCAGCATCGCCGTAACCAAGACTGTTTTTGGTGACAGCTTCACAGGGGCTCCTGACGGCGCGGAGGCGGAGCAGGAGGAAAACTTCTGGTCCCAGGCGCTGGAGGATTTGGAGACCTGCGGGCAGTCGGGGATCCTGAGAGAGCTTGAGGTAGCCTGGGTCCTGCTCCTTACTTTGATTGTTTCTACATTCATGATTTTTGGTCCTTCTGAGTTGGCATTTATCACACCAGTTCATTTAAAAGCTTTAACCCCTTTCCACAGGAGAAAGCCGACAGGCGTGTGTCTGTGAGAAACATGACTCTCTTGGTAGCTACCCTTTTATGTTTATATTTTTGCTTGTGAAGCTGCCTCCCCTGCCCCCCTTGCCTTCCAGACAGCAATTTGATTTGATCCAATGCAGTGAAAAGTATATTGATTGCCCCATTTCCACCCCACCCCCACCTGAGCTGACTGACTTGTGGCTTCCGCCATTGCTCCCTGCTAACCCTGACTGTACCTGTTTGCCACCGAATCGCTAAGGAGGCAGCTCCGTCTCCCGGCAGTGGCGCATCTCATTCCCTTAGTCGCTTAAGAAAGGTTTCTTTGGCATGTTTTCATTTGTACCTGGTACAGAAATTAATTTGATCGTGAAGCGGAACATAAGAGGAAATTTTATTTTCTTTTGTTTTCTCCTTTAAAATAGATGGCGATGCAGCTGGTGCAAAAGGCCGGTCTGTGGGTTAAGCAGCCAGACTGTTACACAGTGCTTTGCTGCTCATTGCAAATTCTGATCCCATATTAATTTAGTGTGAACTTGAGGAGTCCTGGTGAGATGGAGCGTCGTAGCTGAACTCCTGCCGAGTTCTTTAATCAAAGCCATGAATTTGCTGACGTACTCACACTTTGGTCTGGGAAGTCCTGGACTATTTCCTTTTATGTTCTTTTAAATTTTCTAAGCTGTAAAAAATAAAGTGGCAAAAGTTTCATTTTTATTTTGATGTCATACGAGGTCCCCAAGTCACCATAAGGAATGTGAATGGCAAAACTGGGTGGAACTCTTGCAATTTTAAAACGATGACTCATCTTTATATTATTTTGCTTCTCAGTTGCATGTGTGGATATTTTGTGTGAATCTGCAAAGAGAATTATAAACAAAAATATTAATTTAAATTTGTAAACATCATAGTATTACCTGGCATGAATTTCCGCTTCCGAGCATGGTTAAAGGACCTGGAGATGGATAATCCTATAAAACTTGAATACATTAAAATGGTAGCAATTAATTCCTTTTCATGCAACTTTCCAAAAGTGTAGAATGCTTAAGCATCGGCTGGCTTATTTAAACTTTTACCACTTCCTAAAGGGGCCCAAACTGAAGGATGAGCTCAGTTCACAATTCCTGAACATACTCCTGCTTTTGAAAGCATGTGTTTGGCTCACGTGCCTTTTGCATGTTGATCCTTTTTTGTAGAAGCAACTATCCTTCTAATATTCTGTTATATCAGGTAAAATGCAAGTGATATAAAACACAATATGTGTTTTTCACCCCAAAATTGAGTTATCCAGTGAAAACAGCACCCATCAGCATAAAGATTATACTGCAACCGCCTGCCAAGCTTCTAATGTAGCTTCAGGCAGGTGTGGCTTCTGAAATTAGCAATCCAGAAGGGAAATGGGCTGAGAAATTAAAGTCCTCACCTAGAAAGAATGATTGGCAAACCGTAAATTACAGTCTTATTTACACTTTTATCACAAAAACACATTCATTTATTAGTTTAAATGAACTCTGATCCCTTGATTGCAAACCCTAACTATGCAAAAAAATATATTATTTGATCTAGGTTCATACATATGAAATTTATATCCACTATAAAAGTCAAAATGCACTAGAACTGTAACAAATGTAGATTAACTAAGTTGAAATGACTACAATTGAAATGAAAAGGAAAATTATACTAGTCATTTTCCCCATTGTTAGCAATAATTTAGGTTCAACTTAAGCACTGAAAAATGTGTAGTTTTAACAAAAGAGAAAAATTCTAACTAAGACTTTGGACAAGTTACTTAATATGTCTTATCAGATATATCTCTTTCTTTAAAATATGGGGTTTGTAATGAGCTAATACTTACATGGCACTTACTAAATGTCCAATAGAAATGAATTATTTTTGCCATTTGTTTGATTAATGAACACTGCTTTTACTTTTTGTCTAATACAGAAAGAAGGTTTAAATGTCAGATAGAGAACTCTTGAATATATCTCTTCTAAGTTGTTTGTACATACCAATTATCTCACTGATAATGTAGAAAAGAGGAAATTATAATTATAAATTATGAGTTATGCAAAATAAAAAAAGCCAATAAATAACTCTTGGAGCCCAAAAAAATCCTAGAAAATTTAAGATATTTTTTAACATTTTATTGTAGTTCATGTATTTGTGTTTTAATTGTTATATTGCTTCAGAGATGTCACTGATTCCATTGAAGTTCATTTTAAACAAAGCAATCAAGTCATCAACGTGAACTAAAGACCTTTTGAGAATATGTCCTTGCTCCCATCAGAACCCTTTCTAGACCAGTTTGTAACTTCTGCATGACTAAGGCAAACTTGTCTCCCAGTTGCAGTGATTAAGTATGTTATTTCCAACATGTTTTCTGCTGGCCCCACGAAAAAATGAATGTAAAAATTAGATGTTAATAAAAGCAAATAACTAGCCTAAATAGGCAAATACAATAATAGGTAGATGGTCCCCACAGCCAGAGAGCAATCTTGGGTGCTGTCTGTTACAGTAGATTAAACAAAACAAAAAATGATACATGTGAGTTAAGTGCCATAAAATAAAAGGATGTCCCAGGATATCCATAAAGCTGGTCACTGAAAGTTTTATTTGGGAAGGAATATATCTGAAATAAACCAAAATATGGATAATTCATACTGGATTAAATATTAGGGTTTAATCGACTAAAAAGGTCAGTTTTATATGTTTCAACATAATATTTGGCTGAGAAGCTATAACCCTGGTAGTCAAGAATAAACTCTGGAGTTAGATTGCTAAGGTTGCAATCCAAGACTCGTGGGCAAGTTGCTTAACTTACCCAGGCATCCCCTGCCTTAACTGAAATGTGAAGATATAATAACTAAATGATATTCTAGATACACACACATATATATAAGTGGTATTTAGCACACGTTAATGCTCAGTGACCAGGAAGGTTTTTTCACATTCACTTTTCCAAAATTATCATTTAAAAACTGATCTAGTTAGGATATTTTTATTTCTTCTCTTTCAACAGAGATGTAAATATGTGCATAAGAGCACTAAAATTTGCCATTCAAAAATTTTGTTGGAGGTATATTTATAGTTGGACACCAGGCGAATTTGGAATTATAAAACCTTAGCTAAAAATGAAAGCTCTACCCACTGTGCAGTGTTTCCTCCTGATCTATGACTTTAGGTACTGCCCTTGGCTCACTTACTGCCTATTTTGCCTTGGGTAAGTCACCCTCTTTGTGCCTCAGTTTCCCCATTTGTAAAATTAGGAGGAATAACAGTGCTTATTTCATAAAGTTGTTGTGAGGCTTCAATGGGTGAATACATTCAAAGGACTCAACAGATTACACTTCTGTTACTTTTAGCATCAGCATTATTATAAACCTCTACGTGGAGTTGCAGCCAGTGACACGGCATATGGAACCTGTTTTCTGTTCCTAGGATTTCCGGCAGATTCACCAATTTGACTTTACCTTCATATAGCCATTGTTTGTTCTTAGCTCATTTCTGTAAGACACATTGGAGGTTGCCTCGTGAATCCCATCGTTAGAGCCCACTCAATGGAAAGTTAATGCTTAAAATGTAGTTTACAGTAAGCAAATGTTAGAGCTTTTCAATTTGCCTCAGAACTGCCAGGGGTGGTATCTGATTAAATAAGCCCAGCAGCTTAAGTACTTAAATTGGATTTGAGATGCGCATTACAAATGGCACTTACAAAGCATTTTTTTCAGATTTTCATACTTGGGTGACTATATCCATCCTTCAGTCTTTGGTTATGCCCTGAAGACACTGAATTTTGACTGGGCAGAGGCAGAAATGTGCTTAATGTTGAGCAACCAAACCCTTTCCTTCGTCTGTGGCTTAATTGTTTCTGAAAATTGTCAATGCCACAGGCAACAATCATGTCGGGGAGCACGATGAGTTTGAATCATGAGGCCCCAACACCTCGCAGTCAGCTGGGGCGACAGGCCAGCTTCCAGGAACGGAGCAGCTCGCGGCCACACTATAGCCAAACAACTCGGAGCAACACTCTGCCCTCAGAGGTGGGCAGGAGGTCCGTCCCCCTGAGGAAAATGAAACAAGAAATAAAGGAGATCATGTCCCCGACTCCGGTGGAGCTGCACAAGGTCAGGAAGCTTTCTTCTCTTCCCTTAGGGTCACAGGTAGTAGCCATTGTGCATAGCCTGATGCAAGCATGATAATGACCTTGCACTTCGGTCTCAGCCAAGGAAGGAAGCCAGGGCTTAAAGGTAGACCGGCAGAGACTTTGCTTGTTCTCTCAACACTGAGACATTATTTTTGTAAAACAGAGATAATTAGCTTTCAAGCAATGAATTAATAAAGAAATGTGTTTGTGGCAAAAAATCTTCTTACGAAAGTTCAAGGTTCCAGTGTCACATGAAGCTTTGATGATTGGTCTATTATTCCAAATTCACGGGGAAGGGCAGGAAGGATTTTCCTAAATGTATATGCTCCTAGCTTGACTGAAAGGGGCTTGAGGTATAATGTGGGAAGGCTTAATCCTTAATTTTGGACTTATCAGTAGCGGGCTACATTACTTGAGGGACATGACGTTCTCTTCAAGATGATTTAGACGTCTTGGGTTTGGAAAGGGTAAGCCTGGCAATGTTCCATGTCTGCTACGATAGTTGCCTCGCTTTACTTCATGGAAGAAAACCCGCAATGGCACACGGAGCTGAACTTGAGCGGCCGGCAGAGTTTAAATAAGGCATATGTGAGTGGCAGTGTTTGTGGATCCACTATCGAGTACAGCTGTGGTAGAGAGGTGTCTCTGGTTTTCTTTTGTAGAACTAATGCTTTGTTTTTGTAAATGCATAAGGGTACGTACAATCTCACTCCATTTTTCTTGAAAGCCAAGACCCTCTCTGTAGTCAATAATCTAGTAACTAGAGATTATTTATCTTGCCCAGAAAAGCAAATAAATGTCAGATTAAAAGGAGGTGACAGTCCAGCCACTCCTTTTTTCCTCTAAAGCAGTGGTTCTCAACCTTCCTCATGCCGCGGCCCTTTAATACAGTTCCTCATGTTGTGGTGACCCCCAACCATAAAATTATTTTCATTGCTACTTCATAACTGTAATTTTGCTACTGTTATGAATTGTAATGTAAATATCTGATATACAGGATGTATTTTCATTGTTACAAATTGAACATAATTAAAGCATAGTGATTAATCACAAAAACAATATGTAATTATATATGTGTTTTCCGATGGTCTTAGGCGACCCCTGTGAAAGGGTCATTCGACCCCCCAAAGGGGTCGCGACCCACAGGTTGAGAACCGCTGCTCTAAAGACTTCAATTTCCCTAACCACCTATTAAAAGTAGCTATTTCTTTTACAGCCAACAGAGCACAGGGTAAAAGAAAGGACTTTGTGAAAAGTTGGGTTCTGAACTTGGTATTCCATTGCTGGATGCATTCATTCACTTAAAGAATCTGTTGCGAATCCCCAGCAAGCACATACCAGTAGTCTAATGGGGAGACATTCTGGGAGACAGTGGGAAGATGGTGGGATAGGTACAATGACAGAAGCAAGACTAGGTTGTCTTGGAGGACAGAGGGTGGACCCTTCCCACTACAGAGGAATAGAAAAGGAGCAGATGTTGCCTCTGGAGGAAAGCGGGGAGTGGAAAGGTGAAGAGTGGGAAGGCATTCCAAGTACAGAAAAAAGCATGTGTAAAGGCTGTCAAGACTATGATGTGCTGAGAGAATGAGAATATTCCAACATATCACCAGAGCCTTGAATTGGAGCCTGTGCCTTATGAGGAACTACAGAACTTTACAGAAAAGCGAAGGAGTTTCTGACGTTTTAGGGTAGTGACCCAGGTGTCACTACCACAAATTAGGTTGTTTATCCAGTTACCCTGAAAGGATGTGTCTGTCTGGTGATCACCGGCCTTCACCCCCTCTCACACGTCCTAACACACTAACGACAGTACCATTAGGAGTCTGAAGGCCTCACATGGGTCTTCAATTGCAGAAGCTGCATAGTCAGTGCTAATTTTGCTGCATCAAGAAAAGGGCTGGCCCCTCCCGACCCCTTCCCTCTTGCCCTCTTCTCTAACTCTCCATGCCCAGGCAGAGGAGAGCACGCTCTGACCCACCCGCCCTCAGCAGCCAGGGAAAGGACACCAACAGGTACAGAGCGCCTACTGTGTGCTGCATGTCACCGGTGTATACCCCTCACAATAGCCCTCCTCAGCAGATATTTACTAGCCCCATCTATAGGACAGGGGAATCGCAAGTACAAAATAGAGTCACTTCTCTTCTGGAGTAAAGCAGTCTCCTCCAGGGAAAAGTATCGATAGCCCAGCAATACAAAAGGCCCGTCTCCCTTCCCCTCCTGCACTGGCTGCATTTAGCACAGATAGTGATGGTGAATTGGATGTGCAAATTGTTACAGTTGAGGTCAAAAAATGGCTGTGCTGAAAATAGATCCTGTGAAAAGTTTTTCGAAGGCATCCTCCACTGACCCAGCACAGTGAGTGGCGGGGAATGGACTGGCTGAAGCTGTGCCGGTGTGTGGATCAGGAGGCCTCGCCATCACAGACACGGGTGGGCCAGCTTTACCTAACCAATGCGCTTCACTTCAGTGCATTTCCCTCATAGCTTCCCTTCCTTCTGAATTGACCTCAAACTAAATAAGACTCTGAAAAATAGACGGTGGCTGGGCATCATGTGACACCTAATAGGACCTGGTGAAGTGGCGGAGCCTGCAGCCGACTGTACGGGATTCTCCGAGTGGTTTTTGCTCACATCTCAGGCCTCTCTTCCTTTCTAAGTGACTTCAGTTGCTCTGATAGGCCAGCCACGTGGTGGCTGTGAAACCTTCAGGGTTGAAGTGGTCGGGAGGAGAAATGGTCATGAGAAGTCACTTCGCTCAGAGCCGAGACCTCCTCCTGGAGGTGCCTTTTGAACACTGGACGATTAGCTGACACCTTGGAAATGCACAGTGACGTGTTGACAGACCTGAGTGATCCTTCATTGGGTACCACCAGCCTGCACCAAGCCTTTGTGAAAATTACTCTCGTGTGATGGTGTAGAGAAGGGGCTAGGGCCGTAGTCGGCAAACCTCGGCTCGTGAGCCACATGCAGCTCTTTGGCCCCTTGAGTGTGGCTCCTCCACAAAATACCACGTGCGGGCGCGCACGTACAGTGTGAAGTTGACTTAAAACTTTAAGTAAAGTTTATTATGTTAATTTTAGGGAACGTTGTGGAGTGAAAGAAGATGTAGTGTCGAGGCTTGAGAAAGGTATGGTGAGGTGGTTTGGACATATAGAGAGGATGAATGAAAGGAGATAGACGAAACAAGTATACAAGACGAGTGTGGATGGGAGAATTGGAAGGGGTCGACCTCAGCGAACGTACCTCAATCAGATTGAGGACGTTTTTAGCAAAGACCAGCTTAGGAGTACCCTAATTAAGTTAATAACAATGTACCTACCTATATAGTTTAAGTTTAAAAAATTTGGCTCTCAAAAGAAATTTCAATTGTTGTACTGTTGATATTTGGCTCTGTTGACTAATGAGTTTGCTGACCACTGGGCTAGGGAATTAGAAACACACCCCTCCCTCAAGTTGAAGACTCCCCCAGATGGAGTACCCAGCCTGACACATGGGGTGAGGGCTGGTTTTCAGTTCCCTGAGCCCCTTGGGTGCACTTTCTAAGTGGCCCTGGTGGAGGAATTCCCCAGGAGCTGGGAAGAGCTGAGTGAGAGGCTGGGGGCATGGGCAACACACCATTCTGAACACCTTTGTGTTCTTTTCCGGTGGCCATCTTTCTCGTGGCCGCTGGTGCTTGGAAAGCTGTCTCCATGAGAACAGTGTGGGCCGTTCCTGTCCAGGCCGGCGCCTGCAATCGCTTACTGTCGCTAGAAGCTGACCAGGAGGCTAGGCGCGAATGAGCAGGTATCCACCCCCATTCCTGGAGAGAAGACAAAAGGAAAAGCTGCCCATCTCCTGGTGACGGACGACTAACGCCTTCACACAGCAGAACAAAGTGTGGGCTTGTCTTTCAGTTTCTTGGGTTTCATCTGACTCTCATTGTTTGCGCCCATGTTCCACCGAGTCTTCCTAGCCATTCCTTCTCTTCCTTAGACCTTCAGCAATCCTGAACTCAGGTCAGAGTCTAAGCGGTTTCGTTCATTTCACGTCATTTGCTGTGTCTCAGGCTCCACCAGGTCCTGGCAGGGCTTCCTTGAAGTTGTCTGGTTGTCCATCTTTCTCATGAGCCCAAATCGCTAGCCATCCTTCCTGACACTCGAGAACAAACAGAACTGAAGCCCCACTTCCCGTGTGGATGGGGAGGAAGTTGAAGCTGGACTGATGGTTTAGTACTTTGTTGGGGGGAGGCAGGCTGGGGGTCACTGGGAAGTGATACTCATGTCCCCTTAGACCACTGCCTGTCAGACTGTCCTGGCTGAGGCACACAGTCTGAAATCATTTTATCTCACACGTCAGTACACACATACACCACATTCGTATGTGAATGAATCGAAATTTTGTACACTGACATCTTCTGTTTCTTGCTTATTTCTTCTTAAATGTGATCGCATGAAGCTGGTTTTCAGTCTTATTAATGGGTCACAACCAAGTTTGCAGACCGCAGCCCTAGATAACAGTTTGGCGTGTGACCCTCTGCTGACCTTTTCTGTGATGACATGGGGTGCTTGTTCAAATGCAGGCTCCTAGTCCCCACCCAGACTGAGCTGGCCGGCATTTTCTGGGAGGTCAGGCCAATAATCTCCCCTTTAGCAACCCCTTCATTGGATTCTGTTGCACCCAAAGATGGAGTATCATTCCCTTGGGTGTAGCAGTGATTCCTCTGTTTCGGTGAAGTCCCAGGCAGCACCTGGGTGATGAGGTAAAGAGATGAGGTTGCATCTTTGGCCCTGGAACTTCTGAGTTTTATCTTTGCAATGAATTCTGGTTTGTCCTGCAGCTTATCGCAGATTCTTCCTCTTTGCAAGTAAGGCGCCTGGGATCTTCACTACAGTTTATTGATAACCCTTCTTTCCCGCCTGAGCGTGAATATCCTTTGGTGTCCACTTAATCCATTTCTGAGATGAAGTCCAGCTTCACTTTGCACAGTGTAAGACAAAAAAAA